TGCAAACCTAAATAGTTTCTTACCTTGAAAGTAAATTTATATCTGGAAAAACTATCAGGTTAATTTAATATGTGTTTTGAAATGTTTTCATGTATCTAGTTGTTTAATACTCATTTTTAAAACTGAGTTGACTAAAAAACTAAAACTGAGTTGTTAAATACTCAGTCTTATAAAATGGTCTAAAAACTACAGAGGTAACGCATGGTCATACTTCCACATAATGGGGCAAATAATTCCATATCTTACTCTTCTTCAATTTTCTGTTTTTTCCTAATTCTTTATGTCTTAGTTGTTCCAGGATTACTAAAATGTTGGTCAAATTTCACATTGCAACTGATACTTTACATCTGCTAATTCCCTCCTTACAGGTACTAATAGTTCCATTATTAAAAATGAACAAATTATATCTCTATCCAAAATAAACAAAAATAATGTTTGGTGGTTTATACATTTGAATATTATGATGAACTTCTTCTTTGCTTTGAAATAATATGTTGTCACTAAGAAGTATATTCCCAGTTTATAGTGTCTTTTTTTTTCCCCTTGGGAATTTAAAATACTTTAAATAATTTGGGCTTTGCCTGATTCCCCCAGAAGTGTAGAGTATGACTGATAACTGCCTTTAGAATCCCTAATAGCTAAATTACAATTATTATGCAAAGTCCTACAACAGACAGTTATATGGATTGTTAAATGACTTTGCCTTTTTTACAAAACTATAATCATTTTCCTTTATTAGCTGAAGGATTTCATAATTTAAGGAAAATGAAAAACCTATAAGTCACACTTTCAAAGAAGGAACATGGATATTGCAAACATTAAATTCCCCCATAAAAATGTTAAGGCATCATTAAACTAGGTTCAGATTAATACAATTCAGTCAACTCTAGATAGATATCTCCCATAATAAGCTGAAACAATACCTAGTGATCTAAGATGTAAAATATTTTACTACAGCCAATTTATAAGCCTATAAAACATATAGGTATCATTCAACTTCTTTATTAATAGTGCATGCCTTGTATTAAATCAAAACCGTTTTAAAGGCCCCTCCCCTTTGACATTCCCTTCCTCAGCTGTTGCCCCTCATCATGTGTTATCTCACTGAAGTTCATCCAAAGTGAATGACAGCATCTTTTTTTACTAGAGCAGCATAGGCAATTCCCAGTCTAGTGCTACAGCTTAACTATCTTTGAGATTTAGACACACTTGCTACCTTCAACCTACAACATTCTATGGCCTTATGTTGATGTATTTGTTTCTCTACTGTAAGTAGATGTGGTTTCTCTCATTTTGGAAAACTGAAATTTATTATTTTTAGGTTTTTGCAAGTTGCTTTACATGTGAATCATATTCCCAAGAAAACTGATACGGGGAGAACTTTATGCTGTAGTCAATTCTTTTGAATCTGGAAGATCCATTTTTCACCCTGTTTTTGCCCAATAAGAAAGCCAAACATTTCATATTGGCTGAGTTACTGGGGGTTTTAATGAGTTATCGGTTCTGGTTATCTATTGCCATATAACAACCTAACCCTAACAAAACAAGGATATATACTGGGCTCACAATTCTGCAAGTGGGGATAACTCATCCCTGCTCTACTTGGCATTGGCTAGAGTAGTCCTAGTTTAGAGGCTGAAATCACCTGAAGATTAGCTTGTCTGTTTGTTGGTTGTTTGGTCACTAACCCCATGTGGTATCTCTGGTCTAGTGTCTTCAGGGCAACCAGGTTGATCCATGCTGATTCTGAACAGTGCAGAGTCCCAGGAAGAGATTGGTGCTCGAGCTCTTTCCAACCTGGTCTCATAAGTCCTTCCCATTACTTCCACCTCATCCCATGTGTTAAAAGAGAGTCAACATGGATGATCCATAATCAAGGCGAGGGGAATCCGACTCAACATTTTAATTGGAGAAGTATCAAAAAATGTGTGGATATGTTTTATAACTGTCACATTATAAAAGGGGAAATTAACCCAGGACTTTTAAATATCACTATGAAAAATAATCAGTGGTTCATTTCTAAGGTTGCCTCACAGAAACTATTTTTAAGATATAAATTCTTTTTTTAATGTAAAACAATTTTTTCATCTTTAATGAGGTATAATTGACAAATAAATTTTCAATTTATTTAAAGTGTACAACATAATGATTTCTTATATGTATAGAGTGTGAAATGATTACCACAGTTAAGTTAACTAACACATCTATCACCTCACATAGTTATCTTTTTTTTTTCTTTTTGGTGAGAATGCTTGTTCTTATTCCTTTGTTCCATAGACTCCTTACAGCAAGATGTGTCATATCAGATCATCTTGCTAAAAAATCAGGGTATAATAAAGGAAAAATATTTAATATATACAAATATGAGTAGTATACTTACCAGAGAAATTTTGAACTCTGACTCATCACAGATACATATGCTATGAAATTAAGATTAAGCTATGATTAAGATTAAGATTAAATCATATAAAAAAAAAAGATTAAATCATAGATTAAGCTATGAAAGAATTTTCATACCATTTTGACAGTAGAGCTCTTCCATATAACATGGATAAATATGTTATTTTTAATACAAAATCATCCCAGAAGAATCTTTCTTTAACTAGGAAAAGAATTTTAAAGAATGAAGACCAAATCTCTAAGATTATTCAGACAAATAATAAGAACAAAATAAAACCAAAAAAAGATTAAAGTATAAATGCTTAAGCTGATATATATGTACATATACTTACATAGTCAAGATTAATATTATAAAAGATTAATAAAATCGCTATAAATAGTTGATCAAAAAAGTATATAACTGAATTTACTAGAATAACTACACAATAAAAGTTTATTTCTCATTTACAAAGCAATCTAATCTGAATATTCCTAGTTGATAAGAAGCACTCCTCACTTAAGCTTGATATGTTAGTGCCAGGCAAAAGAAGACTGGGCCTCATTACAGTTCCGCCCAGAGGTAACCATGAAGCTCATCGGTAAAAGGAAATTATCCCATTTGCCAAAGCTTCAAGAAGTACACTTTGCTGTGTACCTCATAACTCAAGAAAGGTATAATGTGGTAGAGAGTCCTAGGCTGTGATCAGTGGTTTCGCCTGTTGGTCAGAGGTATCTGTAAAGAGGTAAGACTGGAAGAACAGTGCCAAGAAGGACTGGAGAATAAGCTTGTGAATGGATCTCTCAGAGAGGGCATCATACTTACAGATCTTTATGTATCACTTTAATGCCAACCAGAAAGCATCCACCAACAAGAAGTCACTTTACAACCAAATGGACAAGATGGACCGCCCTACAGATAACCTGCCTTTTTTCTTGACTACCTTTGTGCTTATATGTAATGGACCCATGATAACAGTGGCCTTGGTGGCAGGGATGGGAGCAATGCTTGAGCCCACAATATGGACTTTGTCTCGATATAGCTTCTAAGTTTCCAACCAACTAGCATCAGAAATGGAGCCTCTACCCTGGATATGGCACTATTTCTCTGGGGGCTGAGTGAACGGGTTAACAGGTTACGAGGTTAAACAGGCACCAGGTTAAATGCCGGCATCCAGATTCTGCTGTCCCAGGAGTCTATCATCTGTCTTAATATTGAGGAGCGCAATTCAGTGGAAGCATCCCGACTGTCAACTCTGACCCATGGAGCACAGTCACTAGGAAGCTTGCCTAAGTTGTCTTTGCCTCCTCACCACGGATTTCCTCACTTCCTTAGTAAAGGAAGATCCTCTGAATCGTCCCAGAGAACACAGTCAGATGGTAGGTTCTTAGGTCCAATCTACCATAGCAATTCTAACCCCCCCATCTTCATGAACATCTGGACCATTTTGTATACTACCACACAAAGTTCCCTTACTTCCACTCTTTTTACTCTAGTGCATCATCCAGGTTAGATTTCCACAGATCAAAAAAGCTAAATGTTGGATCGTGACTCACGATGAGCAAAACCATGTCGATGACTTAATTCTCTCCTGCCCAGACTAATAGTCTGTGTCACCCTCCCTGACTCCAGTCTACCACTCTCTACTCAAGATCTTCTACATGGTCCCCTAGTTAGTGCTGACACATGTTAACCAAGTGTGCACGGAGCATTGCATGGATGCCCAGGTTAACTTCTCCAAAATCTAACCTACTTATCAGCGATTTGGCTGAAGTTAGGCCTAGGGCTGCAACTTGAAATGCAGCAGGTGACAAGCTCATCAGGGACAGTAGAAGGGATGCTGCAGTCCAGGAGGTGGACAGTTGACCTCTGAAGGAAATTGTACCCAATGTAATCTGAGAAGGCCCAAAATGTTTGTATCTAATATAATATTTCTTTCAGGACAATAAGGCCTTCAAGGTTATATATTTACCAAACAGTTTTTACTTTTTTCTTTTCCTATGATGTATTGGTTTATAAATGAACTTAAAAAAAAACCCCTAATCTTTTAATCTAAAATGTATCTTAGTTGTATAAGTTAATTTCTCTATGATAATTGCCCTTGTTAGCTTAGCATACAATAAGGAAAGGCAGGCTTTTTATCATCAGACCAACTGTAAACTATGCACTTATGGGTAAGGAATTTAACTTCTTAAGGCCTTAGTTGTAAGTAAAATTTATGTAATATCAAATAATTCACTGGTTTATTATAAAGACACTTTCAAAAATAAATCCATGCATTTCAATTAAATAGATCATGAATTTCACAAATTGATAAGTTAAGCCCTATAATATATTAACTATATGAATATAACTATATATTTCATTAAAATGATATATATAAAATAAAGGTAAATTGAGCCCTGTAGAATGGTAATTTAATAAAATTATATAGTAATCCACCAATAGGTTATACTCATATTATTCTGTGTAATAAAGAAAAGGTTAAGTATGAAGCAAAATGTACAAGATACAAACAACTAAGAAGGCAAACTATATATTTGAAAACACAGTTGTGGTTCATGGTCAATTATTTCATATCTCTAAGAGAATTTTTTAATTGCATACAAAGGGTAAATTTAATTACCATACAAACGTTTGAAACTCTCTGATATAATAAATCCCTTAGGATCACATGTCAATTAAACAGATTTCCTTCTCTCTCCAAATACATTATTGATCAGTTTGGTCATGGATTTAGATCCACTGGGTCTTCTCTTTTCTTTGAGTTTGAAGTTTGTCAGGATGCCCTTGATAATTCTGATAAACATCATTTCCACCTCCAGAGATTGCTCTGCTGCAGACAGTTCACAGAATTGGCACCGGTTATCCAATGCCAGTTTTTGCCTTTCTCCCCAGCCAACCTCTCGCACATGACAGAGATCCTGCTTGTTACCCACCAAAAGCACAGCTGATTCCACAGCTCTGAAACACAGATACACAATTCTTTGGGAAGGCTGTTTTAACAACTCTTTTTTTTTTTTATTAAGTGGGTTTATATCAAAAAGAATTATGGACCAAAGAAAAAGAATACTGTGTGTGTATGTGTGTTATTTGTGGCCATGTGCGTGTGTATCTCGTTTACTTACAAAAATTATTTTAGATAAAATGTAGTAAATGACACAGAAGCAACAAGGCTCTTAAAGCATAACATTTGAAGTGGTACAAACCTATTCCCGGAATTACGGCTCTGTTTACTAACAAGACATGATTGTAACATTTTCCACTTTCAATTCCCTTATATGTAAAAAAAAAAAAAAAGGTAAAATAATCCTCATCACACAGAATGCTCACAGAGGTTAAATGAAGATGTGTATAAAAATGTAGCCCAGTGCCAGGCAATAAAATGTGCTTACTAAGTATTATCTTTCATTTCCTTATCAACTGAAAGAGAAGGACTAACTAATGCCTCTTTACTAATTCAGTACTTGTTGCTGTTTGTTAATATTCATTACAGCATACTTTAAAGAAATTTTTACAGTCTCGTGACCTTGTACAATTTTTCTGTTTACTGAAGAAATATATCGCTTTGGTAAGGTAATGTCTTTGGCAAATATCAATATAATCTCCTCGGTTACAGTGTAACATTCCTAAAGCAGAGTTTCATTTGAAGAATACAGTAAGGCTACTAGGTCTTAAATGGCATGGAACTCTGCCAAGATATCGCCTATAGGGAAGAAATGGGAAAATGAAAACAGTCTTCAGGCTGGTTTCATTCACATGACAGTGTGAGCCGTAAGGGAAAAAGCACTGTATGTGTTGGATTTTGAGGACACTAAGAGCATCTTTTTCTATAGAGTTCAGAAAATTATTGTGAAGAATTAATGGGGAAGAATAAATGAAATATTTTGAAGGGTGAATCACAAATATCAGATGTAATTTTATAAAACAATGCCATAATTTTGCTTTTTATCTACAAATAAGAGACTCTAGTTTACCTAGAGATTGAGAACTGGAAAAACTCAAAAATTATTTGGTCAATACATTTAAAAGTTTGCCTGAAAAATGTCAAATATAGGGATTTTTAAAATATACATTTTTTGCCTATTCGTGAGTGATTCTTTTGATTTGTAAGAATAGAAAGTAGTTTTAATTACTTTCCCTTACCTAAGTTATGGTGCTTAAATATAAGGCATTTAACACTTGAAACAATGGAGGTCCCTCAAAATCAATAATATTATAGGAAATCAGAGCTATGAGGTACCTTAGTAAAATCACATTCTTTTCCCCTACCGTGTTTCTATCAGTTTTATAGTCAGAAAAAGGAGGTCTAGAGATTAAAGGGTTTACCCAAGGTCAATCAGATATAAACAAGAATTTAGATCAAATGACTGTAGGGAAATATAACTTATCAATTATTATCTGATGGTTTCTTGATAGTAGGCATTTAAAATAGATATAAAAAGCACAGGTACCAACTTTCAGGTATAGTATTGTGCTTTTTTGCTTCCCAGATTAGAATGCTATTTTAGATTTTAAGGGCAAATCTGGTTACGAGCACAAAGAATCCCTTATACCAGCAGGTTAAACAAAAATATATATTTTAAATGGAAAGGCTAAAACAATAAAAAAAAGGAAAACTAAAATGGGAAATTCATAGGTTTAAATTTATATCTACTAATGCAAAATTAGTTTAAGGCACAGTTATGTTTTCCTTCATAGTCACTTGTGTCAAGACATTAGCAATCGGGAGTCGTTGATCAGCTCTTTGTTTTAGGAGGTGAAATGGAGAAAAAGGTACTCTCATACTTAGAATCTGTAACAGTTTGATTATTCAGTCTATTTTGCTTTGATTGATTGAACAGCTCAATGACTAGGAATTGGATGCCAAGTGTAATAAATCTGGATTTATTTAGTATCCTTCACATTTTTTGTGGGAATGAAAAAGAAAGGTGGAAAGGGAACTATCTGTGTACAGAGGACCATTATTTTGCAAGTGAATGTCATGTTAACAATAGAAGCTGTCTTGTAAAATAGCCATTTACTCGGGGCAAGTAACTGTTTATGTCAGCCAGGATATAAAGTATTCTCATCTTATTCCTTTTACTACATGTGTAACTCCTGTGGAATGGAAGGTGGATTGTTCAGGGCTGTTAAATTTTGTAATTGGAAGCCTGTATTAAACTCTTCCTAATGATGCTTACAGCTCTATGATGATTTACTAAAAAGAAAGGAGAGAGGAAAGAAAAATACCTCACCTTTTACAATGACTAGTCTGTGGCTCCCGAATTCTGTAGATTAGTGCTTTTGCAAAAGCAAATGAAGACCTGTCACTGATGTCATACACAATAATAAACCCATCTGCCCAATGCAGCTCACTTGTGAGGGAAAATTTTGCTTTCTGTGGCTGAAAATAAACCAAGCACATTGAAAATGGTGGGATCTGATCCCTGTATTTTATCCGTTAGACAGTTAATTAATGGAGACCCATTTCACCTGGAAGAGAATTCAGCAAGCCAAATACTGATATTTTCTAAAATGCAGTCTCTGTTTCTTTTTTATCATCCTCTTTCTTTAAACAAAAGTGATTAAATTTTAAAAAATAAAGAGCTATAATAAAGTTATATCCATCTCATTTGATACCTTTTTTCTAAAAAAACTCTTTTTCTGAAAATTTGATAAGCCCTAATAATTCCAATTAAAATCAATATCCACATATATGTTTGAAAAGAGATGATATTTTCTATCCTTATTAGCAAATGGAATATGTATTGATTTTTGGCACTAGATTTAAATCAGTAAAAAAAACCCAGTATTGATAAGGTTTAGCTAAAAAGATTTGAGGGATATCTTCTTCAAATCATAATTGAAAACATATTTTGTTTTACTTACCTGAGAACAAGAGTCGTATATTTCTAGATTCAATTGCTTCCTTCCAAATACAAATGCTTTTTATAGATAGATTCTGAAAAATATGCATATACTCATTGTCAGTATGGAAATCCTCCAGAGTTTAAAAAATGGCCTTATAGGGCTTCCCTGATGGCGCAGTGGTTGAGAGTCCACCTGCCGATGCAGGGGACGCGGGTTCGTGCCCCGGTCTGGGAAGATCCCACATGCCGCGGAGCGGCTGAGCCCATGAGCCATGGCCGCTGGGCCTGCGCGTCCGGAGCCTGTGCTCCGCAACGGGAGAGGCCACAGCAGTGGGAGGCCCGCGTACCGCAAAAAAAAAAAAAAAAAAAAAAATGTCCTTATATTTGGATCACAGTCCTGCAAAGTCAACCAGTCATATTTTAGTTGAGTACTACAGTAGCTTTTCTTTATTGCTAGTGGTCAAAAAACCATATATTTGCTAATGTATATTTCTTACAAATGAACTTTACCACTATATCTATTCACCTACATGTTTTTCTGCCTATGTACTTATCTTCCATTCTATTACTATGGATGAATTATCTGTGTTTCTATCTAAGGCCAGTCTATTCACTATGAACTAGTTACTATTTCCTCTGACCGGCTGAAAGACATGGCTCCAACAATTCTACCTCTTTCTTCTGCATCATAAAATTTTCCTCTTTATTATATCATTACTAGCAACTGAATTTCTCCTAACTTAACAACCCTTTGGATCCCAACTATTGCTCTATTTTTCTGCTGGCCTTTTGGTAAATATCGATACTCCCTGTGTCCAAATCCTCTCCTTCCATGACCTTCAAATTATTACAATCAGGCTTTAACTCCAATTACTTGACTAAAACTGTTCTTATCAGGGTTATGGTTTTAGACTCAGTGAAAAGTTCTTGATCTTACCTGCCCTGTCAGTAGTATTAGTATAGTTGATCACACCTACCTCCTCAAAATGTTTTTTTCACATGGCTTTCAAGGCAACATACTCTCCTGGGTTTTTTCTTTATTCCATATTGCTTTGTATTAATCATTTTTATCTGTCCCACAATATCTTCTCTCACTCCAACTGTGATTCTAGTTTATGGATTTCTTCTCTATCTACACTTACTCCCTTGCTAATCTCATCCAGTCAGAGTCTTTATGTTACAATTATTGCTGATAAACCCATTTCTGTAGTCTGGACCTCTTCCCTGGACTCTAGACATCTACCACCACTGGGAGCCTCCAATTAGATACCTGATAGACATCTCAACCTTAACATGCTTAAAATGGAACCTCTGATCTCCCCGCAAAGACTGCATATCCCACAAGTTTCCATTTCATTAAATGACATATCCATAACTAGTCTCACAGGTTAAAAGCCTCAAGGGCATCCCTGATTCTTTCTTTCTCTTACATCCTATATTTATTCTATTAAAAATTCATTTTTACTCTATCTTCAAAGAATATTTTGAATTTGTCTGCCTCTCATCACCTCCTTTGCTCACACTCTGGTCCAAGCCATCATTACTTTTGCCTGTATTATTAGAAAACCTCCTAACTCAGCTCTTCGCTTTATCCCTCCCCTAACTCTCTTCTTGCTCTCAGTTTATTCTCAATCCAGGAGCAAAAGCCAATTTGTAGCCAGATCATGTCACTTGCCTGATCAAATCTCTCCAATGGCTCTCCATCTCACTTACATAAACCTAAGCTTTTAAAATGCCTGAGAATTTCCCTAGTTATCTAGTCTCCCATGACCCCTATGATCTCAGTAGACCTCTTTGGCTATTGTCTCCCACATTCCTCCACTGAAGCTACACAGTCCTCCATACCATTCCTCACATTTTTCAGAAAGTTCTTTCCTCTGAACTTCGGCAACTGTTTCTTCTACCTGGAATGTAACTGCCCAAATATCTTCATGGCTCAGTTTTTATCACCTGCAGGTCTGTTCAAATGTCTCCATCTCAGCCAGATCTACCCTGACTACCCTATTTTAAATGACCACACACCACTCCCCTACACTTTCTTTTCCTTCATAACATTTATCATCATAAGACATTTAATATATATAGATAGATAGATAGATCTATATATAGATATATATATGTATAGATATAGATATATAAATGCATTTTTAATTAGCTGACCCTTCCCTCCAGAATGTAAATCTTATGAAGGCTCGGATATTTGTTCATTATTATAGCCTCTCTACCTAGAAGAGTACCTGCCACATGACAGGTATTCAATAAATATTTGTTGAATGAACGAAGGACTTCGTTTCTGTAACTGCCCCTCCAGTGCTTTAATACAAGACCTACCTCTCTCCAAAACTGCATACTGACACAAAATCATGACCCATTCTGGTAAATACTCTGTAACCTGTGGTTAGCAAAATGTAGCGGACATTTGGGAAAGCCGACTTCAGGAGGTTAGGGATGAATTTTAAAATCCTTCTAGGTTACATTTAATGAAATTTGTTAGTGTTTCGTTAAATCTTAAAATGTCTTCAGACAGTTTATTCTAAACTTTATGAGCTTACTACTGTGAACCATATACTTTCCTTCTAAGACATTTTAAAATAACCACTCTCAAAACTCAAAACCTGCCAGCAGGGGTCACCAGCTCTTAACTTTTTAAAATTTTATTATTTTCCCCTTCTAGCCCTCATTTACAAATGGGGTCTTTTTTTTGCTAATTAATCCTCATGTGGTGGTGAACTTTTGCTCATTTAGTTGTCTTTAAGAATGTCTCTAGGTCTTATATTTTTAATAGAGATGTAACAGCCAGAAATGTGTACACTTCATTTGCTATTTATCTATTGATATATCTATATATCTATTGATATATCTTATAAAAGATTAAGATGATGTTTTTATTTTGTTGTTGCTGTTACTGCTTTTTGTGGGTGTTCTTTTATTTATGTTTTGTTTTATAGTTTTAGAACATTTTCTCATGCCTGACTCCTAGTTTGTGTGTTACCTTTTTTGACTGAGGTTGTTGACCTGAGATATGAAACAATAAGAATTTCTCTTCCTATATATTTCTTCTTTCTATAATCAGTTTTCAAGTGCTTGCCCTAAAACATTTACAATGGCATATGGACTGAAATACTATGTGGACTACACGTAGGAAACAATGCAATACTTTAAAGTTATTTTCTAAAATACTCTAATAATGCTATATCATAAATGAATGCTAAAGATTTTTGTTGTTTATTTCTCATGAAAACACTTCCAATCATAATTTCTTCTTACTCTAAATAAGTATTATTGAACAAAAGAATAATTTCCCTTTCTCCCAATTCTCATATTTCTTAAAATCTTTGTTCTTATTAAAAAAAACCCACAAAACCTTTCCCCACCACACCTTCAGTCAGGTAAGATATTAGTAGCATTATATAGATTAATTGCTGAGCCAAAAATATATTCAAACCTCTGGCAAAATTCCCCACTTATTAATTCCCCACTGTGGCATTTCCCATATGTCATGCTAATTCTGATCAAAATAACAGAAATTTATAGTAGAGTTAGTGAAATGATCCTAAGATTATATCAAGGTGCCCTGGCATCTGTTTTAGAATTTCTCTGAAACTTACATAAGCAACCTAGCTAATTATGATATGATCTTTAATCACAGCATAATTTTCCAGTTACTGTCACATGGTTTTGCAATAAAAATAAGCATTTATTTTGTAGTTACTTGTGCTTTTATAATTAATTTGTCTTTATTTTTCAACAGATGTTGCTTTAATTTCAAATTGTTTCAAATTGCTTACAAAAAAATCCACACTCACATGCTCTACAACACTTGGTACAGGCGGTAGGTTCCTCTAGACTGAAACCAACTGGATTTCTAATCCATTTTATTTAACATCAAATTGGATAACTTTTTATCTAAAAGAACAATTAATTAAAATACTTATTTGGGCTTTTCTAACCAGAACCCATGAATAAATAAATTGCTTAAAAGTGCAAAAATGGGGGAGTTCCCTGGTGGTGCAGTGGTTAAGAATCCTCCTGCCAATTCAGGGGACACGGGTTCGAGCCCTGGTCCAGGAAGATCCCACATGACGCAGAGCAACTAAGCCCGTGCGCCACAACTACTAAGCCTGAGCTCTAGAGCCCGTGAGCCACAACTACTGAGCCCGAGTGCCACAACTACTGAAGCCCGCACGCCTAGAGCACATGCTCTGCAACAAGAGAAGCCACCGCAATGAGAAGCCCGCGCACTGCAACGAAGTGTAGCTCCCGCTGACGGCAGCTAGAGAAAGCCTGCGTGCAGCAACGAAAACCCAACGCAGCCAAAAATAAATAAATAAATTTATTCTTTAAAAAGTGCAAAAATGGAAGATTCTATTAAAATGTTTCTCTGATATTATGATGCTGAAGTTTTAAGGTGAAAAAGTCTAAAGTAGTGACTTACCAAAATTAGTAGCATATTCTCCAATAAATCGCTTGGTAAGAAACCTTACTGTAAAGGCTGCAAAACAAAACAAGCTGGATTTGGGGTCTTATCTGTTTTAGGATACAAATAATTTAGTAATGTACATAAGCATCTAGCATCTCAGCTCAAAATTTACTAAGTATTAATGAAGACCTTAAAACTTTGCTAAATTCTGGTCTAAGAATTTCCACTGTACAGCCATAAAAATTAGGAGGCTAGAAAGAAAGTGATCTCAGTGTGCTGCCCACTCAAATCACTGCATAAGTAATTTACAAATGCAAAGACACATAAGACAACTCACCTTTGTAACAGAGACAGATTTCTCATTAAATATGAGATGCAAGAACTATAACATCTCTATATTTTCTTTATAAAATTAATTGTGGCTCCATGGTGCTGCATGCTAATAGTGGCCAGGACGGTCTCAAGCATTCGCAATTGTTTAAGGAAATAGGGACTTCAAAATCCAGGAAACAGAGGAACGACCTCTAGTGTTGGTTTATCTTATTGCAGCTCCTGGGTCTGGCCCGTTGTTAAGATTCATTAGGCTACGGTGGTTCTATTGGTGGCATGCTTAGTACCATCATAATGTGACCAAATACAAAACAAAAGAAAACAAAAACATAGCTTCCAAGGTCTGGTCTGGGCACCTCTTGCTCATTTCTGGGCATTTAAAAAGCCATGCCCCTCCAAAGTTTTTCTCACTTTGATAATGTGAAAAAATGGCATTTAAAAAATAATTCATAGGTCTCCACGCATCTCTCTCCACCCTTAGTCTCAGGGCAGCAGAATCTTTTCAAGGGCATTGTTTGGCCACTGGTAGGTGTGGAGGCAGGTGTGCTGGAGTGAGAAGTAGGTGGGATAGTGATGGGAGGGATTTCCTGTTATTCCAATGAATTTCAAACATCAGTAGAACAAGATACAAATTAATACTTCAAACAGTTATATTCCACAACCTGTATATAAATTTTATATACAGGTAATTGCATTACTTGCTTATAAAGCGAAAACTCCTACTTAAAAATAATATATAGTTATATCAAGTTTATATACATATATGTTATAATGTAATACATATCATGTCAATATATTTCTCACTCTTTATGTACCCTACACCATGCCACAGAAAACAACACCACTTACCAGATTTGCCTGTTCCTTCACCACCCAAGATAGCAAGTTTCACATCATTCATCTTGCTTTTCTGCTCCTTCTTGGTCCGTCCTGACTTCTGGAGATATACTGACTTGAGCCAAGCATGTGTCTTCCAAAATCCTTTTTATTATTGCTGCCCTCACTTCCCTAAGGCCAACTCCACCCCATACTCCTACCATCCAATAATAACTTTAAAAATATTTTCCTAGAGTAGTTTTGAACATGTCTCATAAAAAAACAGTGGACTTACTATTTAGACACAAAGGTTTACGAAGCCAATAGTTAAGAGTTTAACAGAAGTGTAGTTCATCTTCTACTTTCACGTACCTGGAATCTACCTTCTCCTAGAACCTAGAAAGATGATCTCTCTTCATTAAGAAAGTTTTTAGAGGATGGGTAAACATTCCTGTAAATTTCCTTTGAGTGGATCAGTTTTGCTTTCTCTATTAATACCTGAGGCTACATCTTCCTGGGTTTCTCCTGTGAAAGACAAGGGGGAATAAGTTAATTCAATCATGAAAAGAAATGAAAGAAGGGAGAGGATGGCTCTCTTGGATGGATTAGCTCAGGGTTGACAGCAATGCACGTGAATATCCAGCCCATGTTTTTGTGTCATTTGAGGCTCTCAAGGAGAAATATGGGAACCCCAGAGTTTCACCTTTCCAATGTCTTCCTTAAAAAGTAACTTTTCTCTTTCTTTTTAAAAAAGTGTTATACCAATAGACAACAGTAAGATTTCTGGAAAAAACAATAAAGCAATCAGCCTCATGTTGTTTAAATAGCACTAAACAGGAACATGTTTCCTTACATAGTACTTTTTTAAAAAGAAAAGAACATTTGGAAGGGGTGTTCTGACATTAATTCACTCCTGCTATGAAATAAAAAGGCAAATTTGATATGCACAATTATCACTCTTTTATACTTCTTTTCGTCAATTGTCCCTGCTACTCCAAGTCCCCAAATTATTTTCTTCCCTTTCTTTCTCCTCATCTGTATATGTATAAATTTGAAAGTTGAGAAAAGAGTACAACAAAAAAATAGAAGAATTCAACTTTTGTGGACTACATTTTAAGACCCAGGTAAAGAAGTTTCATTTCCAGGTTGGGTCTATCACAGAAATCCATGTTTCTTAAAAATGCATTTATTTAACAAATATTGATTAATTGCCACTCTCTGTTAAAGCTATATTTGGTTTAATTAGATAGGTCAACAATTAAATAATGAATTATCTGACCTGATGGAGTCTACAGTCTACCAAGAGAAAAATGGAAACAGAATAACAACGAATATGATCATTGCTAAAATGGAGCTCTGATCAAGAGCTGGAGAAAGCAGATCAGTAGGTAGAAAGGTCTTCAAAAAGTAGGTAAAGTTTGAAACATGATCAGGACCTACAGAGAGAGGAAGGAAAAAGTGATTGGGGAGATGTGTCTGTTCTGAAAGAAGAAACAAACTCTGTAAAGAAAAAAAGGCAAGAGACAGTGTATCAGTTTGTGGGATCAACAAGGTAACATCTGAATAACTTAGATTTTTTCCTTTTATTACAAATTATAAAAAAAATTTTAAATAAGCTATGTTTTCTCTTTAATCCTGCCACTGTATTAAAGTAACAGAGTGTTTTTTTTTTAAGGAAGTTTAACAGTTGATTTAGTACACTATGGAATTAAATGTTTTTCTTCTTTTTGGAGAAATCTTATTCTTATCTTCCTAAGAAACTTCTGATTGATGTTTTTAGGAAGTTTAGTATATCTACTGATAGGAAGGAAGAACTTCATTTCATGACATGCATGACATTGAAAACAACATATGAAAGGTTGTCATCAAGACACCTGCATTCTTTCATCATAGCCTCTTCCTCCCTATGTCCATTGGTATCCCAAAGTAAATCTAGTTAAGAAAGCAGCCTGGGGCTAGAATAGAGTGAAGTTATAAACCTGAACAAAGAGAATATAGTTATGCGCATACTTTTCTAAGAAACAGAGTGCCAATATATATATATTCTTTCGACCTCATGTAAAGGGTGCTAAAAAGTTAGTATTCTAATAGACACATTATTATACTACCTAGAATTTTCTCACATCTCCCTAAAGAAACATCCATTCACAACCAAAGCAAAATCATTTATTACTTTATTCATTTACTGAATGAACAAAAATTTATTGAGTGTCTACCACGGGCTTGGCACTAATCTTCACTGCTAAAAACATATCAATAAACAAAGTATTCATAGATTCTGGTCATCTGGAGATGGACATGTGACACTAAAAAAAAACCCAACTAGTTACGTATCGGTATTCATGAATGTTATAGTTTTATCTGTTTAGTTTTGTTTCTCTGAGGTCAGATTAAACAGCCCTTCTCAGCTAATCTCATTTCCCTATAGTTTCTGTTAGAGTAGATGCATAATTTCCATCAAAAGCTTCAGATTCACAAGAGTGGAGTGATTCAAACAAATACCTAAGGAGAAAGAATATCTTTGTTCCATTATCCTGTTCCAGATCTTGAAAAGATGAAATACTTCCCAACTTATTTTCTGTGTCTATCATAAACCTAAACCAGACATAAATGGTATACACACACACACAGAGAACAAAGAAATAACCAACGTCATTTATGAATATAGAGCCCAGGTCCTAAGAATATGAGCAAATCAAATCCAGAAATGTATTTAAAGAGCCAAGCATCATGAGCTAGTAGAACTTATTCTAAAAATGTCAAGTTGGTTGAACATTAGGACACTTGGTAGCTTATTTTAATACATTACCAAGATAAAGGAGAAAATCTACATGTCTCATATGCTCCCAAAAGCATTTCATGAAATTTAACAGCTACTTAAAAAAAAAAAAAATTTTGTAATCTAAAAATAGGGGATTTCTTAACGTGATTAAGGTTATAATTTTTAGAAATCCAAATATCAAAAAAATGTCTATAGATTTATTGCTCCTAATTTTCCTCTAAAAAGAGGATATTGTCTGTTACTTTTTAGCATGGAATTGGTAGTCCTATCCAACACAATGAGGAAATAGCACATATGAAAAAGAGGAGACAAAAGGATTATTATCTACAAATGATAGTTTTCTATAGCTATATTATCTGCATTATTAGCATGCATTAAAACCATTCAGTAAGGTGGCCAGATAAGATACCATAACAAAAGCAATAATTCCAAACAGTAAAACTAGCAGCTAACACGTGTTTAACACAGTATAATAACAGGCAATTTTTAAAAATGATTTCCAGGTATACAACATTTAATCCTCTGAGAAACTTCATGAAGTAGGTATCATTAATAACTTCTAACATGATAGAAATACAGTCCTTTTCACAAAGAAAGAAGAGGGGGAAAAAGGATGCAAAGAAGAATAAAACTAAAAGGGAATGTATAACATTTATATGATAAATTCTCTAATCCTTTACTGAAGATTATAAAAAAAGCCTTGAATATGTGGACAAACATGACTAGAAAGACTCAATGTTGTAATTACTGCCAAATTAATCTGCAAGCAAAATGTAATGACAATTAAAATCCCAACAAAGATTGTTTAATTGAATGTGGACAGCCTGTTTTGGAAAAGAAAATATGTAAGAATAATTGAGAAATTTTAAGGTAAAATAGTAAGAAAATATATCTTATGAGCCAAATCATACCAAAAAATAATTAAATGCTACTTTATTAGAACTGGATTGATATGCTCATTAATAGAATAGCTATTTGAGTATAGAAATTGAGTACATAGAAATTAATTTTATTATAAAGTTTTTAATATGTGCTATCATTAAATTGCATTGATACTCTCAGAAAAAGTCACTGAATGATAAGTAATGTTTGTACCTCACATGCAGAAAAATGAATTATAAATATTAAAAACCTTAGCATGAAAAACTAGAAAAGGGTCAAATTGACATATATATGGGAATCTTCCAAATAATCTCGAGGAGGGTAAAGTCTTCCTAGGCAAAAAATGAATCCAAAGACAAAGGAAAAATACATATAGAAAAAAGTAATCCAGTGACTTTTCATAATTGAACTTTAAGTGTCGGTTATGTTAGTCCCATGGGATTATTTACCAAAGTGAGTGCATATGTCGATTTATTAATAGCACAATAAGTATCTACATACAAATGGATCATTTTTAATCAGAATGGAGGTACTCATCTCACCTCTAATTATAATGCAAGTTACTGAAGGAATTAAAGTTCTAGCAGAAGCAAATGTTTTTAAGATGGAATTACTTCTGGATACTTTTATGTGCTAATATGGAAATTCATCATGGAAGAGTAGTAGATTTTTTTTAAGAAGAAGAAAATGCTATTCTAATCTCACAAAGCACATGTTTTCAAACAGCTAACAGATTTAAACTGCATTGAGGTGTACGAACATTTGCACATTATATTGGGGTTAGGTAAGGAATCTAAAGGGAAAATTTTACAGAAAAAACAACAACATTTGATTGCTAAGCTCTGTTTTTTTCTGTTCGCAAAGCACTTTTTGCAATTCATCATGGCACAAATAGCACAGGTAACATTCCCAGCCAGAGATCAGAAGCAATTTCTCTGCAATCACAAATCCTCCAAAACCTCTTCCAAAGAAATTATTCAAATCCAGACATTTACTCTAATAACCAAATGATGAAGATATTGCAATAGTGGCTACAATACAAAACTTCCATTAATATGAAAAGTAGTTAGTATGAAGAAGAGTGCTTTCTTGTTTGCTAGTATTGTAATAAAATACTTTATACATTAAATTCAATTTACAGAAAAAGATAAAGTTTGATAACTTTTGTAGTAGAATTTGTAACTGGACATAATCCTCATCGTAATAAAATTCACCTTTATGAACTAGTACTGTTCTATGTTACAATAAACATTTATGTATTAATATATTTATAAAATATGTTTTTTCCTATGATAAGTGTGTGTGTGTGTGTGTGTAAATTGCAACTGAACAAGGTAAAGATGTTTATATCATCCCCAAGCAATTTAAAAACTCAGTTGACATCATTAATAGAATTGACCTATGACACTCATGCCTTTATTATTCTAAATCACTTTTACAACAAGCT